AAGAGTGAAAGAGAAAATGTGGAATGTGAAGCAGACCAAGGTCAATTCTTGCTAGTTACATGATTTTAAGCCAGCTATTTGACTCCCCAGTGCTCAGTGACCTCATCTGTATAGTAAGGACAGTCATATGTACATCATAAGATGTCTAATGCATATTATCTTTGACTTCCTTCATTCTTTTCCACCCTTTTTCTAGAAAACATATACAGTATTTTTCAACAGAGCATTTAAATTTGGCTTAGGAGTTTACTGGCATGAGGGCAAAAAGGGAAATTAAATGTATTCCATGATCCTTGCTGTTTGTAAGGGGGGCACAAAAACCCATTTTGGTGGGGGGGGGCTCGTGTTTTCTTGTCACAGCTTACTAAATTACTAGCTCTTTCCTTATCCTCTGTGTATAGCTCAATTTTTCTGGCTCAAAATGGGCTTAAATGTCCTATTTGAATTTGTGCCTTATATTATTTGCTCGTTAGTTATAAATTGTTGTGCTAAATGGTATAGCTTGTTAGTTATAAATTGCTGTGCTAAATGGTAATAGCCAACAGAAGAATGAATGGTTATTTTGAATTCTAAGACAGTGAAAAAAATGGATGAACATAATTTTTCTTTTTAATTTTGAGAATAAGCTGTATTCCCCAGAGTTTGTAGGGAGAAGTTTATAATGTTTTAACATGTGCTCTCCCAGGCCATCCCTTCTATTTTTATGGATGAATTCTTTATTTGACTCCCAAAACACTTTGTGGCAATAGTTTTTTCCCTCAAGCTTTGGAATAGATAAGATTATGAATTCCCTTTTAGGTATAAGATGATACATAACAATGTAACCTTTAGGTTACAGAAAAGTTATTTACAGGTTCTAGAAAAGTTAGGCAGCATATTTTGAGAGAAAAAATTCCCTTAATATCTAGCTCCTACCCTATAGAGTTCAGTACACATGGGTTTAAGGAATAATTTATTATAGGGATAAAATTTTTCTTTAACAGAAGTTATCACTTGTTTATCTTTCAAGACCATAGACTTCTGTTTGGAGTTGTTTCAGGAAGTCGGTGAGCTAAAGAAGAATGGAAAGTCCTGATAAAACTAGATTACTTCCAAGAAAGTCTTAAATACAAAATTTGTGATTATTTACCTTTTTCTAAGTCAGTTAATTCTATTTAAAATAAAAAAAAATTTTTTTTTTATTTGAGAGAGAGAGCGAGTGAGCATGCGAGTGGGGGAGAGGGACAGAAGGAGAGAGAGATAGAATCCCAAGCAGGTTCCATGTAGAGCCTGATGTGGGGCTTGATCCCATGACTCTGGGATCATGACCTGAGCTGAAATCAAGAGTTGGTCGTTCAACCAGCTGAGCCACCCACCCATGTGTCCCTTAATCTATTTTAATAATTACTGAAATTCTACATGGAATATAATTCCTCTTGAAAAACTAAAGGAAATAAGTCAGATAAAAAATCTTGACAAAGGAATATAAGCAGCTAACTATTGATATAAGAAAATAAAATCTAAAAATAAGTTGTTTAGGGACACCTGGGTAGCTTAGTCAGTTGAGCATATGACTGACTTCAGCTCAGGTCATGATCTCGATGTTTGTGAGTTCCAGCCCAGCATCGGGCTGTCTGCTGTCAGCACAAAGCCTGGTTCTGATCCTCTGTCTCCCTCTCTCTCTGCCCCTCCCCTGCTCACTCACACTCTCTCTCAAAAATAAATAAACATTAAAAAAATAAATAAATAAGTTGTTTGGAGAGAAAAGAAGGTGGACACCATTCTGGTTTTCAAAAACAAGAGAAAATCATAATGCTATCTTTGGGAATGGGTAATGACTGGGGATTTGGGCTTTTCCAGAAAACTTTCCTGTACTCTGAAAAATAGGAAATTTTGTATGAAAAACTTTCTTGCACTCTTGGAGGCCAAAGCTTGATCGTATACTGCTGCTTTGGTTGTTCTGTTGCCAGATGAAGTGAACTAGCAATTACCAACTTTTTCTTCTGTTTTTTTTTTTTTTTTTTTTTTTTTTTTTTTTTTTTTTTTTTTTTAATATATATGACTGGTTTCATATAAAAACTTTGTAAATATGTATTTTATAAATATAGAAAAAAATTGGTCACATAAACTCTACACCTAAAGTAGTTATGTTATCTGTGGGAAGTGTGATATAGAACAGAATGAGGTAGAGTTTTCAGTTTTTTTCTCTGTATGCTTCTATCTTTGAGCTTTAAAAAGAGAGTTATTTGCGTTTTCAGCAGTTAAAATTGGGAGAGGAAGACTTATAGGAAAGTAAACTATTTTAAAAATTCTGTAATACTGTAGAAATCCTTATGATTTAAGGCAGATTTTTAAATTTTTTTTTTTTAAGTGAGAGTATGCGTGAGCAGGGGAGGGGCAGAGGGAGAAAGGGAATCTCAGGCAGACTCCTCACCCCTCACCTCACCCAACCAAGATCATGACCTGACATGAAACCAAGAGTTAGACACTTAACCAGCTGAGCCACCAGGCACCCTTTAAGGTGTATTTTTATAAATTTTTTTTTCAACGTTTATTTATTTATTTTTGGGACAGAGAGAGACAGAGCATGAACGGGGGAGGGGCAGCGAGAGAGGGAGACACAGAATCGGAAACAGGCTCCAGGCTCTGAGCCATCAGCCCAGAGCCTGACGCGGGGCTCGAACTCACGGACCGCGAGATCGTGACCTGGCTGAAGTCGGCCGCTTAACCGACTGCGCCACCCAGGCGCCCCTAAGGTGTATTTTTAAAAAATAGAGATGTAAAATTGATCATGAAACAAATAATGTAACTAATATGCAGTATGACTTTTAGAAATATTAAAGTTTTCTGTATTGCCTTGTTAAGTGAATTATCAACTGAATCTACTCTACAAGACCTTGAAATATAGAATATTATTTGTGTGTTGATAGTTTTGAGTGTTTTAGATGGCTCCTTGCTTACCAACATCTTTAGTCAATATATTTTTAAAGTGTGCTCATTTTCATCTTATGCAGTTGGATTTAATTTTCTTTAACCACAAACATTAGGGGAAATGCACCACTCCCAATCTTCTGAATCCCAAAGTGAATTTTCTGGGGATTTGTCGATCTAGATAATGACAGTTGTGATCTTTGTTCTTTCAGGATTGTTTTTCCCTCTAATATTTGATGGCACCGTTAAGATAGAAGAAATACACAAAGTCAATGCTAGTATTTTACTAGAACCAACCTTAAAAATTCTTACTACCCTGTGTCGTTCTTCTCATTTAGCTTTCTCTACAAGTCAGCCACATACCTGGAAGAAATAAACGTTTACCTTTTTCACTAGAATTTCTGTTTTCCCCTCTTACATTCATTTTTTTAAATTATGTGTAGTTTATTGAGTACTTAGTATTTGTCAGGCACTGGGGATACAGAACAATAGTCCAGATTCCTGCTGTCATGAAATGTATATTATATCCTAGTAGAGGTTACAGAAAATCAACACATAAATAATTTCAGATAATGCTAAGAAAGGAGTGATTAGGGCTGGTGTCGTCCTAACCTATGTGGAGTTTGGCAAGATTACAACTGGAGAAATGAATATCAAAATTTTTAAATATTTATAAGTTAAGGATCAAGCTACACATCCATGCTGCCCACTTCTCAAGGGCTGGCATCCTCAAGACCCAGAGGCTAAAGGAACTGTTGTTCTCTTCTACTAGCCAGCCTTTCTACTTGCTAGTCTGATTAGTAGCATGGATGACTTGGGGCAGAGCAGGGATGGTTGAGTGGTGCCTGGACCCATCAAAAACAGTATGTGAACTGATCCTGTCAACTCCCTAGGAATCCAGTACAGAGAGGTTAACCTCTTTAAGTCCTTGTTTTTGTAACTCAAGACTTTAGGAAATTCTCAGCTCTTCCCCAGATTGCACTACCCGAGAAGAGAGCAGGGAATGCAGGTATCTGGGACACTTGGCTTAACTAGGCAGTCCTTCTTGGTGGATTTGGGGCAGCCAACCTTAACTGATTAAAGTTTTTATGAGGAAACATTCCTTCTGTGATTTCTCAGGGCAGAAGTTGTGATTTTTTCCTTTCTCCGTGGATACTGTGGCACAGTCACCTTACCCTTTGGCCTGGGGCAGGGCCGGGGTGGGGGAGACCTCTTTCAGCTAGCACCTCTCCCTATTAATTCCCACTTGCTCACTTGCTTCCTGAACTTTCAAAAAAAACCTTCCTTACAAGGCTAAAAGAAAAAAAAGTCTTTGTTTTAGTGATTGTGGTATGCAGAGCCTAGGCTTCTGACCTAGGCTTTTCTTGCCTAGGTCTAGGAGTGGCACTGGAATGGAGGTGACCACAGACCGCTCTTTTACACGCCTCTTTGACTTTTTCCTATCTGCTACCTCTGAATCTGCCTAGCCCCCAACTCCATTTTTTTTAATGTTTTTTTTTTTTTTTTTTTTTTTTTTTTTTTTTTTTTTTTTTTTTTTTTTTTTTTTTTTTACATTTTATTTATTTTTGAGAGAGTGAGCAATGAGAGCGTGAGAGCAAGCACAAGTGGGGGAGGGGCAGAGAGAGAGGGAGACACAGAATCCAAAGCAGGCTCCAGGCTCCGAGCTGTCAGCACAGAGCCCAAAGCCGGGCTCGATCTCACAAACCTTGAGATCATGACCTGAGCTGAAGTCGGATGCTTAACTGACTGAGCCACCTAGGCGCCCCTCAACTCCATTTGTTTTAATTTGTAAATTTGTTTAATGTGTAAAATGAAACTGATACCCTTTAGGATACCTATGTCAGAAAAGTAAGCTCTAAATGAAAATAAATATTTTCTAAAAGATATTTTGTGAGAGCTTTAAGTAGCAATGATTAATTTTCCTATCTCTGACTACCACCCTCCCCCCCAACCCCCGCCCCTCCATCCCCCAGGGGGAAAAAACACACTCAACCAAAAAACCACCAGAGCAAACAACAAAAAACAAACTATATAATATTGTTGTGGATTTGAGTACTGACTTAAAGGTTGTCTTGTATTTTCTCTTTCAGGTGTGAAAGTTGTGTGGATTTACTATTTATGAGAGGAGCTGGAAACTGTCCTGAATGTGGCACTCCACTTAGAAAGAGCAACTTTAGGGTACAACTCTTTGAAGATCCTACTGTGGACAAGGAGGTTGAGATTCGGAAAAAAGTGCTAAAAATGTAAATATTATTGTTTGGATATACAAAGAGGACTTTAACAATTATTTAAGTAATTGATATAATTATTTATTGATGGAAATATGGACAGTTTGGCAAGTGAATAAGTATAAATTCATCTATGCATTTGTTCAACAGAAATTAAGTTCTTAGAGAACTCAGTAATATTTATCTAGCCTTTGTTAGAGAAGTGTAGATCCTCTGGATTGATGGCTTTACAATTTATATATTTACTATATATTTTTTAATTTAGTTAACATATATTGAGTACCTACTGTGTGCAAGCACTGTGTTATGCATTTTAGGTACTAGGTGGAAATGAGTGAAATAGCTATGAACCTTGCCCTCATAAGGCTTACAGTATAGTAGTATAGGATAGCATGGAGGTAGATAATAAGACAGGCAAACTAAACAACTATGTGACTATGAATTGAGAAAAATACTATGAAGTTAGTGACAGTATTGGTGTAGGTCACTGATATCATGTTTAAATTGAGATTTGAAGGGGGCGCCTGGGTGGCCCAGTTGGTTGAGCGTCTGACTTTGGCTCAGGTCATGATCTCACAGCTCTGTGAGTTCGAGCCCCACATCGGGCTCTGTGCTGATGGCTTGGAGCCTGGAGCCTGCTTCGGATTCTGTGTCTCCCTCTCTCTCTGCCTCTAACCCACTTGCATTCTGTCTCTCTCAAAAATAAATAAGCATTAAAAAAAATTAAAAATAAATAATAAATAGAGATTTGAAAGCTGTTATATAATGTGTTGTAATTTGTTTTAATATCTATCTTTATGTATGGACATATGTATTTATTTTTAATATTTATTCATTTATAATTTAGTTTTTACTCTTTGTGAATAGTTTTGGGTTTTATTTTATCTGTCCTTTTATTAAAAATCACCTGATTATTTTTGAAGTTTAAAGAATATATATAATATATTTAATTTATCTACATATAATATTTAAATACATATTTAAATGTCATATTTAAACATATTTACTTAAATATATTTACATATATGTATTTAAATAAATATATTTACAATATATTATATTTAATATATTTAATATATATGTTTAATATATATATGATATTTTTGGTGGTGTATGTTTCAACCTAGGTCACCAGTGTTTTAGCAGCATCTTTCTAGGTATTTAATCTGTGTTACTTCCTTAATGCCCCCAGTTGCTCTTTTGTTATTTGTATTACCTCTGAGAGATAGTCTCTTTTAGATTCTTATTTTTTATTGATCCCTTATAGTTTTTCTAATTCTTTACAGGTACATTACAATATTTACAGAATTTTATGATCTAGTATTCTTTAGACTATAGTTGTCATGAAAAATAGGAAGGTGTCTTTTGAATTAATCTTTAGCTTTCTGAAAGTTAGCAAATCAATTTATAACAAGTAAATAAGGTTCCTAATTTCTTTTTCTTTATTTTCCATAAGTTTTAGAGGGATTTAACATATTTTATCTTTCTCTTTTGATTCTATTCTGTCTTTGTAGTCATAAGAATTTAAGAACGACGTTTTTGGTCTAATTACAAACATGGTGTCAAGAAAACAGTGTTTTATTTAGTAAGCAATCCTTTTCTATGTATCATGAGTAAAATAGGTAAGAAGAAACAAACTGATTAGATAATATTGAAAACAAGAGGTATGTAATGTGTTGATTTTTTTTTTTTTCTTAAAGATACAATAAAAGAGAAGAAGACTTTCCTAGTCTAAGAGAATATAATGATTTTCTGGAAGAAGTGGAAGAAATTGGTATGTTTTTTTTTTTTTTTTTCTGTAATTTATTAATTTTTTCTAATTTACATCCAAGTTAGTTAGTACATGGTGCAACAGTGATTTCAGGAGTAGATTCCTTAAGCCCCTTACCCATTTAGCTCATTGCCCCCCCAACTCTGTTTGTTCTCTATATTTCAGAGTCTTTTATATTTTGTCCCTCTCCCTGTTTTTATATTACTTTTGCTTCCCTTCCCTAATGTTCATCTGTTTTGTAACTTAAAGTCCTCCTATGAGTGAAGTCATATGAATTTGTCTTTCTCTAATTTCGCTTAGCATAATACCCTCTAGTTCCATCCACATAGTTGCAAATGGCAAGTTTCATTCTTTTTGATTGCTGAGTAATACTCCATTGTATATATATTCCACATCTACTTTATCCATTCATCCATCGATGGACATTTGGGCTCTTTCCATACTTTGGCTATTGTTGATAGTGCTGCTGTGAACATTGGGGTGCATGTGCCCCTTTGAAATAGCACATCTGTATCCGTTATATAAATACCTAGTAGTGCAATTGCTAGGTCGTAGGGTAGATCTATTTTTCATTTTTTGAGGAACCTCCATACTGTTTTCCAGAGTGGCTGCACCAGTTTGCATTCCCACCAGCAGTGCATAAGAGATCCTCTTTTTCCGCACCCTTGCCAACATCTGTTGTTGCCTGAGTTGCTAATGTTAGCCATTCTGACAGGTGTGAGGTGGTATCTCATTGTGGTTTTGATTTGTATTTCCCTGATGATGAGTGACGTTGAACATTTTTTCATGTGTCGGTTGGCCATCTGGATGTGTTCTTTGGAGAAGTGTCTATTCATGTCTTTTGCCCATTTCTTCACTGGATTATATATTTTTTTGGGTGTTGAGTTTGATAAGTTCTTTATAGATTTTGGGTCCTAACCCTTTATCTGATATGTCGTTTGCAAATGTCTTCTCCCATTCTGTCAGTTGTCTTTTAGTTTTGCTGATTGTTGCCTTCGTTTTGCAGAAGCTTTTTATTTTGATGAGGCCCCAGTAGTTCATTTTGGCTTTTGTTTCCCTTGCCTCCGGAGCCATGTTGAGTAAGAAGTTACTGCGGCTGAGGTCAAAGAGGTTTTTATCTGCTTTTTCCTCAAGGATTTTGATGGCTTCCTGTCACATTGAGGTCTTTCATCCATTTTGAGTTTATTTTTGTATATGGTGTAAGAAAGTGGTCCAGGTTGATTTTTCTGCATCTCTCTGTCCAGTTTTCCCAGCACCACTTGCTGAAGAGACTGCCTTTATTCCATTGGATATTCTTTCCTGCTTTTTCAAAGATTGGTTGGCCATATGTTTGTGAGTCCATTTCTGGGTTCTCTATTCTGTTCCACTGATCTGAGTGTCTGTTTTTGTGCCAGTACCATACTGTCTTGATGATTACAGCTTTGTAATACATCTTGAAGTCTGAGGAAATTGGTATGTTTTTGATGCTTGTACTTTTGGTTGCTACCCTATGTACTTTTATCTTTTATATGCTAAGACAACATCTCACAGAAAAATCTCTAACAAGTTTTGTTGTGATAGCTGACATTTTTTACCTATTTACTTTCAGTTGTACTTGAATCATGTTTGTTAAATAGAAGGCATGCTTAAGTAAAGGACATACTTAAGTCATAAACATTTTGTTTTAGGAAAAGTCTTATCACTTTGTATCTGGGGAAAAAAGACTGTATCTCTGTATATCTGTATGTTGATGGGGCATTAGAGTCAACACAAGTAACGAATATACAGATTTTTAAAAAATAGTATTTCTAGTAACTGTGTCTATGGTGACTAAAGCCATATGTTGTTTATCATTTATGTCTCTGTGCATACAGTATTTTGAAAATAGTCGGAAGCAGTTGACTGTTGAAGTGGCATTCTGTTTTTCATGTTATGCTTGAATCAGAGGATAGAGTAATCTTGGGGCCTTTTCTTTTGTGATTAGTCAAAAGGATGCTTTCATCAAAAGAAAGGATTGTTTTTTCTTTCTTAAATAAGATTTCATAGATGTTAAAGAGCTTGGAAGTTGTTATACTTCAATTAAAAAAAAGTTAATGTTTTTTTTTTTAAAGCTGCCATAATTATTATTACTCAATATAGTTTTGGAAATATTACCAAAATTATGGACTGTGAAGATAAGAATGAGACGTAGGGAATTAAATCATCTTTTTTATTCTTCTCTTCTCACTATACTTCTGTTATTTCATATTTAAAATATAAATATAACAAACTGATCATTCTTTAGAAGGTTTATATATGGGGAAAATTTTTAGAAAACTTAAACTCTTGAGTAATGGAGTATTCTAATGCCTTTAATTTCTTTATTAACTAAGAAAAACCCAGAGAATCTTTTTATTTCAACTGTAATTAAAACTTTTCTAAAATATCTAAGTTCACTTGTTAGGTTATAGCAAATAGCATGTACAGAATATAGCTTAAGCTTTTCCTTGGATCTTTTAATGCTTTGGAACCATTGCTTTTTTTATTTAATTGTATTCATTGCACTTTGTGTATAATGTTAGCAATCATCAGTGGCTTGGATTTTAGTTGAAAAGGGGGTGGAATTGGAAGTGCCAAGGCAAAGTAGAAAAGTTAGGATATAGACAGAGAAGATACAACCCCCAAATCTGCAAGAACTGGGAAAATGTAAAAATCTGGTTGTATGTAGATATTAAGTACAGGACAGGAAGTTGGGTAGTAAGCAGGAAGAAATCCAGCTCATGTTTATTCTGAAGGCAATGTCATTAGTCAACAGTCTGGTCAGGCAATAAAGAGAAAGGAGATTATAAATGTCACAGAGCTAGTTGAATACATGGTCACAAGTCCAAGCAGGCAGGTAAGATAATCTAAAGAAACTGATGGACAAAGAAGGTAGGGAAAGCGGGCAGGGATCTTGATTCTAGAATAAGGTTCTGGTTGAGCCATTATTTCATACACACACACACACACACACACACACCCACACACACCCACACACACCCACACACACACCCACCCACACACACATTTAAGCTTATTTATTTTGAGAGAGAAAGAGAGAGAGTGCGCGCGGGCACGCACACACGGGGGAGGGGCAGAGAGAGAGGGAGACAGAGAATCCCTGTGCTGACACCCAGGTGCCCAAGATATTTTTTTTTTTTTATGAGATGAATTACTTTGAATATATAAATAACCTGGGACCCATAGGTAAAACCATGTTATGTCTAGAAGTGGGAGCTAGGATTGACAAGTAAGAACAAGTCTGGATATTATGGCTTATAGGATATGTAGACCTTTCCTTACCAGATAGGAAAACTGTGGCTCGGAGCATTTAATTTGAAAGTGATTCTGCTATCATGTGTATTCATGAAAGACTATCTTCAGTTGCAGTATGTTGAAACTTTCTTGAGCCGTTGGAGTGACTGACATTTCCCAGTCCTCCCATAAAAAGTACTGATTGATGTCCAAAGCATAATGAAGATGACCCTTGTTCATTAGAAGATGTCCTCATGTACACTTTTGTACTTCTCTCACCAGTTCACTTATATACTGAGAGTTGTTTGCATTGGTAACCAAGTCTTCTTATGTTAAACTTATAATTATGTAATTTAATTAAGTAGTTCATGTGTTAGGAAAAAAATTGCAAATCTCCTGAAGCATTCTGCTTCTCAAGTTGTTTTTCCACTTTAAAAAATGGAAACTGAACAGTGTAGGTGACAGGTGTGGTTTATACAGGAAAGAAGCAGGGGTGCCTGGGTGGCTCAGTCTGTTAAGCATCTGACTCCTGGTTTTGGCTTAGGTCATGATCTCACTGCTTCGTGGGTTCGAGCCCCATATTGGGCTCTGTGCTGGCAGCATGGAGCCTGCTTGGGATTCTCTCTCTCTCTCTCTCTCTCTCTTTCTCTTTCTGCCTCTACCCACTAGCACAGTCTCTTTTTCTCTCAAAATAAATAAATAAACTTAAAAAAAGAGAAAGAACAATTAAAGAAATTAAAGGCTAGACATTGGTTGTATGTCATTAAGTTAGAGAATGACTACCCTTACTATATATGTTTTAAGTTAAAGTATTTAAGGAGTGTGTATGTGTGTTTCCCTCCCTTAACAGACTTTTGTAAATCATCAGCTACTAATCTTGATCATGTTGGATAAAGAGCAGTTCTAATTATATTTAAAGATATTGATGAAGTTTGGGGCCTAGCGTCATGGACTTACAGTTTATTTTCTGAGCTTTAGCTCAGTTTAACAAATATTAATTGTTCTATTGAACTACTTTACTTGATGAGCATATATGATCTTTGCCTTCTGTAAGTTCAGACTCTAAAGGGGAAATAATTATTTAAACTAATATTTATAATTTAATGGGAAAGTAGTACAGGCATTTATTTGTAAAGTGTTACAGGAATACAGATAAAACAATTAATTCATCATTGGGAAATAGAGGTATAGTTTGATCAGAGAAGAGGTCATATTTGAATTTGACCTTAAAAAATGGAATAGGAGTTTATCAGTGGAAAGAGGATGGAAGAACATATGTAGCAAAAGACAGAGTTACAGAGGTACAAGGGTATTGAGCATGTTGGAGAATGGACAAGTAATGTTATAGGTAGGTAGAACATGGGGAATGACCAGAAATGAGGCTTCAGAAACAGAGTAGACCTGGGTTAATGAGGGCTTTGCAAGCTAGACTGTCAGGGTAAGATTTTATTCTCTGGCTAGTAATGAGCCAGCAAGGATAGTGTGGTAGCGATGTGCAATATTGACAGGAGATCCTTGAGGCTGGGAAGCGATTTCTCAGGGGCCATTATAGCAATTTGGATGAGAAATAATGAGAGCTTGGAGCAGGTAGTTAGGGAGGGATAGATAAAGGGGATGTTTTAGAGACAGAATATTCAAGGACTAATTTGATACAGGAAGTAAGTAGAAAGAGCAGGCAAAGATGAATTAAAATTTATGACCTTGAGCAGTTGTATGGTATTAATCTAGAAAGTAAAAACTGGAGAACAGGC